AGACACAAAGCACTGGTATAAGAGTACTCGCAGGTACTGATAGCTGGTTGTTCAAAGCCAATTTCAACTAATAAATATATCATTTTCTCCAAGACTAAAGTATCAGCCAATTCTCAACCAACAGATTAAGAATCAAGACGGAATAAACAGTCGGTGAAACGAATGACCTTGTGCAATGATAAACTATAAGTAAACAGTATCGACAGGTTGTAGGATTATGAGCTTGTACCGATAAAACAATATCAGAGCCTAGAATTCAGTGGTTGTCGTAAAAGGCTGTCTGTCATACGTGTTTTTCGTTTATGTTTTTCATCAGGCTGTTGGTTTTAGCGGTTAAATGGTTTCGCCTATTGTCAAGTCGGGGCTTTATATAGCTAACTACGGTATGGTTATTGCTCATTGATGAAGGCCCGCGTAAGGTGATGTATTGTTGCTTACATCATTGGCCGTCATACCAAGTCTCCTTATTTCAATATGCATACACATAAATAATCCGACAGTAGCTGGATTATCTATTTAAGAAATAATTCATGGGGGCTTTAATTCATTGTGATCGTACCACGGGTTGGCCCTTTATGCTAAATATTTTACCACGTGCGATAGCGAGGGGTAAAATATCAGCATAAAGGGCCAACCTGTGGGAAAATCAATATAAATTTAAGCCCCCATGAAATATTTCTATTCTAATAGGACAAAGACAGCAGTTCTTTTGTTTCGAAGCGCTCTAGGTGAAGGGAAATTTTTGCTGTTCCCGTAATTGAACACACCATTGATATTGACGTAAAATAAGAGGGAAACTGAATACGTGAGATGCTTAAATGATTTACAATAACATACTAAGACAGGTTTGGACGATGTTGATTGATTATCTTACTTTTATTTAAGAAAATGGGCTGACAACAAATTCTTTTCATCGTTTGTTTATGTTTTCAAGTGTTGACGACTCTCAGTTTCAAATTCATTCAAATTTTCCCGTAGAATGCTTATATTCTTACGTCATTGTTCAATGACGTCATTTACACCGTCTGACCTCGGGTAACTCATTCATAAAAAGCAAACAACGTGGGAGTAAGATTAGAACAGCCCAAAGAATCCATGACGTTGGCGTATCAATATATTCATATTTTACCACGGGTGTGTACTCAAAGCTTTTGAAGAACATCATATTAGAAAAGATATTATGACACCCCTTGTATCTGAATTTACCAGCTATAATTTGTAATATAGCCATGTTTATACAGTTCCAATAACTCAATGTAATCTGTATCAACAATCTTTTCTTCCAGGTTCTTCTCAGCCTCTAGATCTTGATCAATTTATACTTAGGTATACGAAATGTTGAGTTTATCCATGAAAGTCTTAGTTACTGATTTTTCGACAAAATCATTATATACATTTTATTTACTCATTGTTACTTTTCCAGTTATTAATTAGGTTTTTTTTTGTAAACGACGCTTTGAACTAAAACAAACATGAGTTGTCTCATTGGAACTTATACCACATCTGATTTATATCATTAATATTGTTCGTCATAAACATTTTTAACTATTTTTGCGTGAAGCCCCTGAAGGGTTCACGCCTATATATTGGCGAGTTTTGGAAGTGTCTATGGGCCATTCAATATCCTCGGAATCAAGATTCTCGGAACGTCTTGAAAATTTTCGATCATTTATACAGGTAGTTATATATGTCTTTAATACGGTCCCTCTGTGGATAGGCTACCACGTGACATTGTATATTTCAACAATCAAAGTTCATGTGTTTGTAGATTGGAAATGAAAACAATAAAGACTAGGTTGCAGTCAAAAAATCATTTATATGTTAGAACCTATTTGCCTTTTGACAAAACATATGTGTTTTTAATAATGTGAATGTTTTATTAAATATCAAGTATAATGATAACGCAATTTTATAATTCATGCTTTGAGACGGTCCCTCTACGCGTTGTGTGTGTAGTATTTAATGCAGCGTGCTGTTGTGCATTTTGACAATTAAACTGGGAATAGTTTATTGATATATAATGTCCAAGAATACACTGATTATTTCTGAACGTTTATCATTTGATATTTTGTATTTCAATCATATCATATCATGGACAAATGTCGGAATGTATGAAGAAAATTTAGAAAACGATATTTCTGTTAAACATATTTATCTTAGGTCGGAAACACAGTGGTTGGAAAGCAGAAAGATAATCAAACAAAAGGGTTGTTCTGTCAACATGGTCAAAAATATTTAATTTCATTAAAAGAAACTACCAGACCAAGAGAATATTCATTATTAAGTTTAACTGAGACTGAATTTATTCTTAATAGAATATAATTAAAATTGTCATATACGTGCATTATGTCTCACAGGTTTGAACAGTCATTACATTATGAAAATTATGTGCAACATATGAGCAGGGATGCGTACCCACAGTTAGCTAAATATCTAAATTTCAAACGGTCGTAAATGAAAAAATTCTTGCATGGTTTCAATTCACAAGGATTTTAAATCCTTGCATCTCACAAACTAGAGGCTCTCAAGAGCCTGTGTCGCTCACCTGTATGTAATGTGGTTTTTAAATCATGAAAAATAAGATTGAAATCATTATGACAAGCTTTAAAAAGCTCTATAATGATGGAGTTTAAGTTTGGTTTAGTTTGGTCCAGCAGTTATATTAAAAGCAGGTTATTGCATTATAAATGTTGTTCTTATATGTAGAGGGGCATTATTATAGAATGGTAAAAAGTTTTTCTACCAAAATTCAAACTTGATGTGTTTTTAATTAGCATTGTAAAATGGTTCATAACTTATTTTTGAGGCAATCCAGAGTTAGAGAAGGGAAACCAATTTTGGAATGTTAGGTTGGATGGATGTAAAAATGAGAAAGGAAATGGGGAATGTGTCCAAATGACAAGAAATCGACCATAGAGCAGACAACAGCTGAAGACCACCAATGGGTTTTCAATGTAGCAAGAAACTTCTGCACCCATAGGCATCCTTCAGCTGGTTTCTTACCAAATATGTATACTAGTTCAGTATGTACATACAGGCAGACAAGGGTAAAAGTTCATGTTCCTCCGCAAAGGTGGGGCATTGAAAGGTGTTTATTTGAAGGTTATTGGACATTAAATTTGGATTAAACCCAAATTATTTTTAAGAAGGTTAAATCTTCATGACTTTGTATGCAAAGTATCATGTGGATGCAACTATAAGTTCATAATATGTATTTTGTCATCTAAAATCACTTTTCTGAATGAAAAAAGCTGTTTCATACAATTGCTTTGATGTTCCATGAAGTGTAAAATTCAGATAAAAAGCATGCTTTATGAAGTCTAAATCAGAACGACTATATAAAGTTACAAGTAGATTCAACGATTATTTCAAGATAAACAACCTTAACCTAATTGAGATGAGCTGTTTTGATTGAGTTAAGCGTTCGAATTGGTATTTTATTGTGTTTTTCTGTGTTGTGATGCTATTGTCTCAGTAAAAGGGAGAAGTTTTGGTAGCATTAAAAGGTTTAATCTAGTTATAAATGTTTGCATCTGTTTTAAGTCAAGAATCTGATGTATAGTAGTTGTTTATGTAATTTATACATGTTTTTCATTGGTTGTTTTTTATATAGATTAGAGCGTTGGTTTTCCTGTTTGAATGGTTTTACACTTGCAATTTTGGGGTTCTTTATAGCTTGTTGTTCAGTGTGAGCCAAGGCTGTGTGTTGAAGGCGGTATGTTGACCTATAACGGTTTAGTTTTACAAATTGTTATTTGGATGGAGAGTTGTCTCATTGGCATTTATACCACATCTTCTAATGCCTGTTAATACAGACATTAACCTTACACAAGAGAGACGGACGAACATTCATAGTCATGAAGTGTAGTTGTAATTCAGATTGACTTGCACTTTTCCTTTAGTGCAAATTCTTATTTCTTATAAAGGTACATGTAGTATTGTACAATTGTGAATTATAAATTAAAGCAAATAATTTGTCAGGGGAAAAATTTCTTAATTTTTTGAAGCAATCACAGAAAAGAATATTTAAAAGATGAACAAGTGAAACTGTGAGCTACTGCTCATTGATGATGCCCCCACTGCAAGTGGATAATTTTAAGTGTAAACTATGTAAGAGTTCGGTAAACAGGAAGTTGTTGAGTGATGAATATGAAAACGCATCACAGTATTCATGGTATTGCATACTTATATAAACTTTGAAACCAAATTTCAGAAATCCTTGTATTGTAGTTCTTCAGAAAAATGTGACAAAATTTTCAATTTGGTTATCATGTGTAAAATAATACAAGAGTTTGGTAAACAGGAAGTTGTCGGTTGATGAATCTGAAAACGCATCAAACGGTATAGCAGATTTATATAAACCCTGAAACCATATTTCAGAAATCGTTGTAGTGTAGTTTCTGAGAAAAATGCGACGAAAAATATTCATGGGACAGACGGACTGAAGGACAGAAAGAGGTAAAACAGTAAACATAAACAATTGAGAATAAAATTAGTTCTATCAGTCAGATATAATCAAATATAAGGGTTGTTTCCCTTCCTTAGATAACAGAAAACAAGTTGTACAAGTGAGCTTATGAACATGGAATTGTGATTTAATTTATCAATATTTTAGCAAGATTTATACTTTGTTTGTGTGTAAGTTGAATAATAGAGGTCATGTGTGTTCTGATTTGAAGCATTTTTTACTTTGTATGTTATCTTTCATGCATTTTGTAGTGATTATTTTAGTACATGTATGTTGGTATTTGAATAAAAAGTAAATAAAGAAACAGCAGTTGAGAACAAATATTTATTTACTAACAAGATATAACTGTACAGTTAAAAATGTTTGACTAAAAGAACATGTTTGGTATGGTTGAAATATGGGGACATTTAAATTTGAAGATGTAAAGCAAATTAACAAATAGTCATACATAATAGATTCTTGATTTGTGAGATTAAGTTATCATGGAATTTAAGAGACATTAAGAACAAAAAACATTAACTGTTAAATTACACTTTAAAAAGAGTATATAATGATTTAGAAGTGTAAAATGTAAAATTGAGGCTGTGTTAGCATCTTTATAAGTATTTTTAGACTGTTGTTTAACAATTACATATTGATAATTAAAAAAAAGTGTATATTATGTTATAGAGGTAATTCAAGCAGTAATAAAGCAAGTATCAAATACAATATCAAAATCAAAGAATACAGAGGTATTGTATTTAAAAAAAACAGATGATCTGTAGAGGTCAAGCAGTGACGGTTGTATCAAGTATGGACAGAATATTCAAAGTAATTTCTAAAAATTAATTTACAGCTACACATGTCAAAACAATCATCATTTCTCAATACATAATTTTCAAGCAGTGCAAGGGAGGTAACAAGTAATCAATCATATATTTATATATATATAACAGTATTGTTTAAATTTAATTTGATTACCTCCCTTACAGTGTTTTAAAACTGTCCTCCAAACAGAAAAAAAAACTTGTTTTTTTGTCTTTTTATTCCTAATGGCTATGTGATTTGAGCCATAATTATCCTTTTGTAGTATGGAAACTTGTGATATAATTTCAGAGAGATTTATATGCTTATTAACTGGAAAGTACAAAAATGCTTATTTGGCCCCTTGCTTGTCAAATGATGTTCAAAAACATAAAAATAAAGCAAAACTTAAAAATATATACATTTACACAATTAAAATCTTCATATATATTAGGCCAAAGTTTTTTTACATACACAAGTATAGTCTACATATATATTAGACCAAGTAAATTGCATGTATACATGTATACATGTAGAAATGTATAAGGCCATGTTCACATTGAGGTTTAAACAAGTTTGAAACAAGTTGAATTGAAATTTTGTATATCGATGATAAATAAATACAACCTTTATTCTAGAAACATTTCCAGCTATTAATTAACTTTTCAATCTAGAATTTAATAAACTTTTAACAATTGATTAGCATGATTTCAAAGATGTAAATAATTCCTGTGTACACATAAGATGTCTCCTATGGGCAGTGTGAACATGGTTTGGATTAAGGTTAATTAAATTTTGATTAAAAAAACAATAGTTAGGTACAGAACATTATTGAATTTCCTGAGATACATGCAGACGTGGGAAAATTTTTATATTTTTATTAGTTAGCATGATTGGCATAAAAAGTAATGATAATGTAATAATGAGGTAGAAATGTCAACTTTTGTATTATGTACATTGTACATACATGTATGATGCAATAAGCAGATTTATTTCTTATCATTTAAGAATAAGTAACAACAATCAAAACATTCTTGATAGTCTGTATTTAAAAAAATTTATGGTAAGCATTCATTGCAGTTTTTATTCAAAAATGTTTCATAACCTAATTTTTATGCTCTAATATTGTAGACTTCTTCAGAATAAGTAACAACAAAAATTCGTCCATCGTAAACTATCTTTTGACAATAATAGTTTTTAAATGTATTAATTCTAAGAGCAATAAACAATTGACATGAACAATCACTGTGGTACAATATTGTGCAATTGTCAAGAAAACACAAGCATAAATATCTTTCTGCTGGAAGAAGTAAAATAATTGATATTGACAAAAGCTCTGTTTGTCATGTTCATGTAATTCAATCTAAAATAAAATTTTGTATATTGTCTTCTATTATACATGGAGAAAAAACAAAAAATAATTAGGAACTAAAAATGTCTTGAATCATGGAAATTTCAAATGGCACATCTGGCAAATGACAGAATGTTGTTATTCTGGTTGATTTCTACTGAAAAGTTGTTGACATTCAGTATGTAATCCTCTAGACTGTCACAATCCTCTATGAGGTCCTGTTGAGATTCTGCTTCTAGGAAAGACTTTAACTGGGGTTCAAAGATTGTGTAAGAAATGTTGTCTGTTGTGTTTATGACTGCTTTGGTTGATTTGTGAAGATTTTGCACTCTCTGCTTCATTTTGCAGGTGTCACATTTGATTGTTGGGTCAGCACTGGTTACTTCAATGGCCTTCATGCATTTTTGGTTACTGCATTTTGTTGATTTAGTGACAGTTATTTGTCCAATACTGATCTGTTTTAGTTCATTAAGCAGCAAGGAATGATCCATCATAACTTGACCATAATTGTCTATCTCTGTGATCTTGGTGGTGGCACAGGTATTGATCCACATTTCATCATTGAAGTTATTGGAAATGACATTTTTTATCTTGTAATATTTGCCTTCCTCTACCACAGCAATGGAATGTCCCCACAAGGACATTTTTTTGCAGGCAGTGTTGTCAGCACAGATTGCTTGTCTTCTTTGTTTCATCCCATATTTTGTTGGAATTGTCATTTCTTCCTCTATAAATTTGACAATTTTGACATAAATTGTGGCCTGGAAAAAAAAGTATCAAAATATAAGTTGAACATATATAGTTTGGATTAAGAGCAGATAAAAAATTGAAATGTTACATTTTTACATGAGGTTTTCCATGCATGTTTGTAGATAAGGATTTGCTTAACCTTTCATAGTACCTGAGATCAGCGCCAGTTAATGGTGGAGTTCATGGTGTTATTTTTTAGTTTGTATGTTGCGTTTTATTCATTTTTATATATATTTGTTTGTTTGTTTTGTTGTGTTTTTAATGTATGGTGTTGTCAGTTTATCTTTAATCTTCAAGTTTGAGTGTTCCTCTGGTATTTTTTACTTTGTTGTAGATATACTATAATTTTAGAAACAAAATGGTATTTCAAATAAGCCTGATTTTGACTCAACGGTTGAGAATGCTTAGTTTTTATTATGAATAATTGGGTTCTCCTTAGTCCAAATAATTATGACGTCTTGAAAGGCTATTATATTTTTTTTGTTTGACGCCTTACGTTGAAGAAATCACAGGTTAATATTTCAAATTGAAGTTGTCAATGAGAAAGTCTGTATTTACATATGCCATCAGATAATCGTGAGAGTAATAAGGTGAACATGTTTTGTCGTGAGAAATATATATATGGCAATAACAAATCAAGACTTGTAAAAATGTGTTTTCATGCATTCAGAGAATATCTTAATATAAAAAAGAAGATGTGGTATGATTGCGAATGAGAAAACTATGCACACAAGACCAAATTGACACAGAGATTCACAACTGTACTTGGTGTAATACACCTTATCGCTATTTGTCCGCCATTACTAGAAATCACACAGGTTCCTGTAAAATTTTTACCGTCATAGAACAAAATATATGACACCACAATGGAAAAGTGATCGTTGTTTGCGTCAAAAGTTCAAGCTGCTGGGTCAGCCGGGATGAGCAATAACATGTATCTGGGTACTGTGACGTTAAACAAAAGTGTAACATTTTTAGTTCAAAGTTTGTAATTAGTTTGTAATACATAACAAGGGCATAATGTGCGGTACCTCGAATCACCAAATAACACCGTTATTAGCCAAATAACACTTGTAAACACCGAATAACACTTGAAATTTTAATATTAGCACATATTGGTGACATTTAAACATTGATTATTAAACAATATTGTATTATAAGTGTATTTTTTAACTTAAAAATGATTTATAGAAAGCAGGTAAGTTCATCATGTTCATAAGTGGGAGTGTTCAGGGGGTTGGATTTTTGATTGGGTTGATCAATGCATTTGTCACAGGACATACTAGCCGGTTGTTTTCTGGATTGGGACCACAGGCATTTGTTTAAGAAGAAATTCCTATATAAATACAAAGATTTAATTTACCGTAAAGAAGAAAAGACAAGTGCCTGTGTAAGCAATTCTGTACTAGACCGATTCTGTGACAAACCTCCTCTCCCCATAAATTTAAATATCATGATAAAATTTAGTAAAAAAAAACTTTACATTTTGTTGATTTGCTCATGATGATCTTTAATCTTGATGAATATAATAAATACTTACGGTCATGTTCTCGGACAAGTTGATTAAATCTTTTGGTTCGGATTCGTCATTTGTTTGTATCTTTTGCTTCTTGAATGTTAATTCATTCATTGCCACTTGCAGTGTTGTTGATTTGTTGCAAATCACGTCAATTTGGCCAGAACGGCCAGGGCTTAAAGTTGCACCTGTCAATTTTACTGGTGAATTCATGGTTGCAGCGGAGACGAATTTTTCATGCTTATCATGTGCAAAACAAACAAGTCTCTTGGTATCTGTTTTGGTCATTTGAAAAGTTCCTGTAAAGTACTTTGTTTTACCATTTGCTGATAAAGTAACTGTCGAGACATTGTGTAAATAACCAGTTAGAGAGTCCATGTTCAATTTACGTTTAGCCATTTCGTTAAGAATGACATTTACGCGGGAAAATGCGTAGTAATTTAAAAGAAAATAAAAAAAAAATAAATTAACGGAGAGATTGTATCGAACATTTTCGAAAAGAGGTTTAGTCAACATTGTACAGTGTGTGTACAGTTTCATTTTTTTCATGTTCAATTTTATTAGAATGAACAATGACAGGATTCATTGAACTACTTTGTAATCATGGCATGTGTATATTTGAGTAAACCGACTGTGTGTCTTAGGCGAATGTTTCTCCAATATAGGAGTACCTAAATGGGTAATTGTTCACAAAAGAAAAAAATAGCCAAGTAAAATGTATTTTGATGGTTAAATAAAGACCTGTTGAAATGTGAACAATATATTTAAGTGTTTTAAGTTAAGGTATTCTATAATGGTGGCATACAGACTTTATATGATAATGTCAGGGGCAGTTTCAGCCATTTAAAAAAAAGGGGGAGGGTCCAATTATATGTGTCCAGCCATATGCATTGATTGGCCAAAAAAGGACATTCCAACCCTTGGGATCCTCTTTCTGGATGGGCCACTGTATATAGAGTCTTTGGTTGGAAGTAAAATTTTGATAATGAGTATAAAATAATGAATCAATCAAAAGCGATTAATAATTATTGCTAATATTTAAGTCCATAGATAATTATTTAACAAATAATTATCCCATTGAAACAAAATTGATACCTCATATAGAACCTGTCATGTTAAAACTATATATACCAAATGAAAGACTTATGTAATGTTCCTGATAAGGTACATGTATAATATCAAAATGTTCAAACATGATGAATAAATTGAGATCTTAAGAGTTGAATTAAAAAAATCATCAGATTGAAACAAAAATTGAAATTTATCTGTAACATGACATGTTTTAATTATATGACTTATATGACTTTTAGAAAATATCAAAGCAATATAAGAAGGCAGTCACAGAGAAATATGTTGTCCTTTCTACATTGGTTAGAGGTAGAGGGGTTGGGTTGAGATCTCATAAACATGTTTAAACCCATCACATTTTTGCGCCTGTCGCAAGTCAGGTGCCTCTAGCTGGCATTTGTTAGTCTTGTATTTTTTTAATTATAATTTTTTGTGTATAATCTGGAGTTTAATATGGCGTTCATTATCACTGAAGTAGTATATATATTTGTTTAGGGGCCAGCTGAAGGACGCCCGTGGTTGCAGGAATTTCATGCTGCATTGAAGACTTATTGGTGACCTTTTGCTGTTGTTCCTTTTGTTAGTCAGGTTGTTGTCTCTTTGACACATTTGCCAATTCTATTCTCAATTTTATTCCACTGAATATAGACAACCTTTATCATTGGTACTGTGAATTTAGTGTTTTTTGTTATGCAACAGGGTTACAATAGCAAAATTTTTAACTTGTGTTTTATGTGTTTCTATATGAATTTAACTCGATTTTCTCAATTTTGCAACAATTAAAATTGCATTTAGTCTAAAATTACAAAATCACAATTATAATAAACATGATAAATGCACACAACTATTTCTAAATTTACAGTAGTTCTTCCATGTGAGAAGTTATTTGTTTGTCATTTTAAGATGTGATCATATTCTAAATTGTTTTGTGTGGTCTTCTTGAGTTGATGTGTTAAACTTGTATTTTATGTTTTTATATGAATCAAACCTGATTTTCTCTACATTGCAAAATAGTTTTTTCATGGTCTTCTTGACTGGATGTTTTTTTCTTATGTTTTTAGAAGTATGAATGGGGTTGGAAAAATAATATGAAAAGGATATCAAGTTTAATTGTTTATTATAGAAAATGTGGACTCATCAAGTGTCAAATCAAAATATATGTTGTCTTCAATGTTTTATTTGTACAAGAAGTCCAGTTAAACAGTTCACCTCTAGAATAATATTTAGTTTCTATACAATAAATTTTCAATTCAAATAAAATATGACAGTAAAAGACAGTATGCATGTAAAGCAACATATTGAGAATGGTTCCAATAATTTGACCTTTAAAATGTCTTGATTTTACTTTGTAGGAAACACTTGTTTAGCAGTTATTTCAACTTAAAAGTCTAGATTTTATATTTCATTTCCTCTTAGGCAATAAACACACAGTCTGTCAAATGAATTGTCAATTTTGATTCCTTTCTGTGCATTGCATACAGAGTTATACAATTGTGTCTTGATGACAATTTTTTTCATATCAATTCTAGTGAATAGGTTTACTGTAAGATTCAAGAGTTTAGTCCATCATTATTGGTGTATGTTAATACTAACAAGCGCTGGAACAGTGTCTATATTTCCAATTTGTTCAGCAGTTAGTTTACTTCATTTAGTTTTGCATTGGGTTATAATAATGCAATATCATAAATGTTCACATTGTTTGCTTTCTATTCATTGTAATGTTGAAAATTCATTCATCTCAATTCTAGTGAATACTTTGACTGAAAGATTCAAGTGTTTAATCCATTCATTATTGTTGTATGTAATATTACAACCACAGGAACAGTCTGTATAATTCCAATTTGTTCAGCAGTAAGTTTACTAAATTTTCAAGTTTTTCCTTGATAAAGCAAATGTTCACATTGATTGTTCATTTATTACTGTTCAATAAATGTTGAATACACATGTAGCAAATGTAAGCAATAACATAGATGAGTAGAATGACACTTCAATGCAAGTTTTGATTTGTTTTCAATGTTCAGCCCTTTGAATGAATTCAATATTGATGCATTTTGTTAAACTTGTGGTAAGTATAACAAACAATTGAAAACCTTGAAATTGAAATGTCAGATGAATGCATTTCTTTCAATTTAAAGAACTTCAAGTAGTCATATTATAATTAAATTTGAAATTATTTTTGTCTGATGAAAAATGTTCATGAGACCATTTTTGAATAGAAATAGCAATGGATATTAAATAAGACATTCATGTACTAGTATATACAAATAAACTTGTCATTACAAAAGTACATTGTACAAACATTATAAATGTTTAGTAAAAACAAATTATATGCATACAATTATATATATATATATATATTATGGTTGAATATTATCCAGTTATCAAATGTAAAGTGATTGATGATTTGATTGTTGATTGCTTTATTCCACATTAGCACAAAAAGGCTATATTGCAGCGAGAGCTAACAAATGTAAAGTGAACAAAAGTATTGAAAAAAGTATCAAGTATAAATCTATATTAATATAACAATATATATATATGTACATTATTAGTGTTTATTATTCAATTGACAGCAAAGATTTTAACATTCATAATCATTCTGATGACTTTATCATAGTTTATCAAACAGAAAGATACTATTATCAATATTGTAGGAAGAGAAATGTGACATAAAATATGTGGTCCTCAAAACTCCTTTATTTTACATCTATATTGAAGAGATGGTTTTGAGTGTGTAAAAAGACAAATATGTCAAGGATATATATATAAACAATATTTGTGGTAAATATCAGGAGTGTTCACATGCAAAGTGCATGACACTGTCTACTGATAAAATAAGCATTAAGAAAGTAGAGGTGGTAAAATTTATTGTCTTCAATCATTACTGACTTTGAATAAATGGAACCTTTCTCATCTTCCATTGCAAAATGCTTGACCAATCAGCATGTGTCTTGCTGGTTTATGGAAGTCAAAATAACACACTTTCAAATTTCTTTTTTTTGCTACCCTTAACATTGTACCTATAAAGAAGAAAGCTTTGTAAAAAAGCTGTCTTCTGTACAAGGTAATTCTGTATGTCAGGAGTCGATTTCACAAAAATACTTACGACTAAGATTGATCGTAAGTATACTGATTTGTTCATGACTTAAGACCAATCTTAGTGGTAAGTTTTTTTGTGAAATCGACTCCAGGAGTCTTGAAGTCCACTATTTTAAAGAATTCATTTCTATTTCTAATTTCTCATGAAAAGGCAAATCTGTTGGAGTGGAACCCATTTGTGTTCTTTATAACCACTCCATGCACATTTGAGATTGCCTTTTCAGCAACCTTAAATGAGCCATATTTTTCAGCGGGTTTAATTTTTATTGTTTAAAAAAAACTGGTTTTGGTACATAACATAATCATTACATTGAATCATTGTGTTTCAATGGCCACATATATAACTTTATGATCTGACCAAAAGGAATCAAGAACATCTGTTTCAAAATTTACTTTACTATCAAAATTTTGGAAAATTAAGTCTAATAATGTGCCATAAGATGTAGTAGCATTAGACACAATTTGCGAACAGCAAAATGTATCTCTCATGAACTTTAAGAAAGAAGTGTTTCCAGTGTTTAAATCAATATTAAAGTCTCCCATTATGATAATTTTTGGATGTCTTAAATACATATCAGGGAGAAGGTGTGCAAGTAAAGTATCTTTCAGTTGTTGCAATTTGCAGATTGGTGCCTTGTAAACAAAGACAACCTGAAAAAGACCTTTGGTGGGTGATATTATGTCTGCTATAACAAACTCTAAAGTTGGAGTTGAGAAAGTGACTGTATTGTGAAGAATACAATCTGTCCGATAATATAATACCAACCCATGAGGTGGTCTTGTATTGATATTTGTTGGATTTTGATCTAAGCGAACTGGTGCCTCAAAACCAGCAATATAAAAATCATCATTTTCGTCTGTTGAAATAAGTCTTGATTCAGCAATACCAATAACATCAGCATCCAAGATGTTAGGGTCTGATTTTAGATCATTAAAATGAGCATGCAATGACCTTGCATTGTTAAAAACTACTTTAAAATAATTATTTGACAATTTATACAATGGCTTAAAGCACAACTGTAAAGTTGCATTTGTCCTTAGTCTGTGTAATTCTTGTTTAACACAATCAGCTACAGCGATTGTTTCTTGATTGAGATCTAATATCTGTAATCCAGATAAAGATGTTACTCTGCTAAGTGCAACATAGTGAATATGTGGTATTTTCCCTTTACGTTTTGATTTCAGACTAACAACAACTTCTTGTAATGTATCACCTTGAGATTTATGAATTGTTTTTCCAGCTGCTGGACGAAGAGGAAACTGAATTCTTTCAAAGGTCTTATATTTATAAGTAAATGACCTTTTAATATCAAACAATGGCGTCCATGTTTTTTCAACATCTTTTCCATACAAGTGGGAATATTTTTTTCTATTGTTAGCACCAATTCTAGCATCCTCAAACTTAACCCAGATAATACTTGGTCTTAAAGATGTAGTTTTGCACTCAACCAATTTAAGTTCACATGTTGAACCATTTGTGAGACCATCAGTGACTTCAATATTAGCTGTAAGATCATATTTCATCCCTATTGCTAATATTACTTCTTTTGCAAGATTGGCTGTATCAGACTGTTTTTGTGGTAAAGAACTAAGTAATTTTTCTTTTACAGATGTCCCTAAATCTCCACAAACTGTGTCAACTGCTTTAACTTTAACTTTTTGTGAGCATAATTTAGATATGTATTGAAAATTAAAGTTATCCACTAAAGCATTTTCAACAAACAAATGAGTAGCATTAGTTCTGTATGCTGGATCAGTGATTGAAACAGTTCTGGTACTTAAAACTGCATAATCATTTTCAGTAAGCTGATTTTGTCTCAACCTATTTAATAATTCAGCAAATTGTAAATCATCTTTTTGTCTCATTATTTCAGTAAGTTCATGAAAAGAAAATAATAATTTCCAGTAATTAGGAGCTAGTGCTGTCAATCCTTTGCTAAAATCATTGAAAATCCAGCTGTCAAATACAGGTTGAAGTTGGAAAAAGTCACCAATAGCTATTATACTCACTCCACCAAATGAAGAGTTGCTTCCCTTGATTTTTTTCAGCCTTCTCTCCAGTAAAGAGAACATTTTGTTTCCAACCATTGAAATTTCATCAATCAAAATCACTGACAAATTTCTGTATTTCATTCTGAGTGTATTTAGAACATCACATGACAGTGACTGGTCAAGTCCTTTATTTGGTTGTATTTGGAATGCATTGTGAATAGTCAAACCATTTATATTGTAAGCTGCCTTTCCAGTAGGAGCACACAGAAGAATTCTAATATCATCAGGGTCCTCACCTTCAATAGAACACAAGTGTCTGTGTAAAGCTTGAAATATTGCTCTGACAACAACAGATTTTCCACATCCTGCTCCACCTGTCAAAAATGTATAAAATGGTTCATGTTTTGTTTTAATCCATGTGACAACATGTTGGAAAAATTCCCACTGTTTCTTATTCAAGGATCTTATCAATGAAAAATAATCACTTTCACTTATTATGTTGGCATGATTCGTCAATTCTACTGTTCTTGCTTCTATTCCAACTTCACGGGACATATCATACAGTCTATGTTCTGTTGGTCTATCTGGATTGAAATGAACATACTGTTCTGATTCTGTAGGGCCTATTTCAGCATCTTCCATTTCTACTTGCTGTGTGGCAGGTGCTATTTGATCATTCTCATTACAATCATTTTCTGCCTCTTCTATAGCTTTCTCTAGATCTATTACTTTACCTTCATATTGCTTAGCTTTCTTTTCTAACAGTCTTGCAACAGTCAGGTACATGTTTTCAAATGTTTCATGTCCACATTGCAAGTCTAAAAGTTCATTTCTCCATGGATAAAATAACATTAAGCGTTCTCTGTAGAAGTTTTCAGAGTCAGTCTTGTAATTGTATTTAACATATCTTATCACCTTTGGTGTTTTTCTTTGGTATATCCTAATACCATTCTTCAGGGTTATGTCGATTTTGTTAGTGTTTTCATCTATAAGATCTGCATTTGCCTGTTCATTTTCACTTTCAGATTCATTTTCATGATCTGATAACTCTGAAGTTTTAGGATACTGCAATTCAAGCTGAGATACATAGTCTGCTAGACACCAGTTTTCAAGTTGTTTTGGCCTACGCGAGTATCTTTTAATATCATTATCGGATTCTATTTCAGTAGATTCTGGCCCTAGTTTTTCTAGGGCTGATGATTGCTTTAAGAGGAAAGTTCTTTTGTGTTGTGGAGATGTGTTAATGAAGACAACTTGTCTTGTAGCTTTTGTTAAAGGCATCTGTAATGTTAAGTATGTTGCTTCTTGAGCGCTTGTTTCTACAGAATTTGAAAAGTAATTTCCAATGTGCCTTACTTGATGCTTTAAATCTAAATTTCCCTGTCGTGCTTCTTTTGCTGCTTGGTCTAGTAATGCACTCATACCTTTTTGTGACTTGCTTATGTATGAAACAATATACACTGCACATGCAAATGCATCTAAAACAAACTGTAAATCATGATTTGCTTGCCAAGCTATCAACACAGTTTTCATGTAACCATTAACACGGACTTCAGATGGTTTTCTTTTGAGAAAAACTTTTGGACCACTCAAGTTGCTTCTAATGGCTTTAATGTAATTTTCATCATTCATTTGTAAAACATCATCTAAAAACATATCATATGTCATCTGGTCTATATCTTCAGAATTGTGAAGTGTATTTATTTCGTTTTGTATTTCTTTATATATTTCCTTGTATTTTTCTATGTCATCATTTTCTTTCAAAGGCTCTAAAATTACTGTTGCTTTCATAGGTGGAAGGGGGAAACCAAAACGACATATTGGATGACCTTTTTTTCTGCATGTTTTTGAATGTTTATGAACTTGCAAATTGACTAAACTAGTGTCATTTTCTGAATGTGAACAAGAGACATATTTATCAATAAATGCTACAACATCTTCATTTGAATCGCTTTCATATACTGGTGCATTTTCAATCCAAATCAAGATATGAATATGTGGTGAACCTCTCTGTTGAAATTCAACTCTATAAAAAAAATCTGTTAATTTTCCAATTGGATCATGATCACTTTTCAAGACCAAGTTGATAAACTGTTGGACACGATAATCAAAATATCTAGAGCATGTCACAGGGTCTTTCTGAACAAGTTTAGATTTCTGATTCCAATCCATTTCTTCCAATTCATTGTCAGTATACTCTTTTCCATCATTTAATTTGCCTAGAATTCGTAACAAATCTTTCCAGTTAGTGTCAGCAGATGAAAGAGAGCCAAACCATGTCGGAAGACCCAACTGTCTGATCATTGCGAATAAATCTTTTTTCCTTTTTTCAAGGTATACTGGAGAGTTTCTTAAACTTCTAAAGATATAATAACCCTCATCCAATCTTACAAGATCATTTACAGTGTTAGGGTTCAGTACATCTTTTGCTGTCCATTTTTTTCCTTCTGATTGACACCTTCTTAGAGCAAGATTGACCTTATCACTTATGTTTTTTAACTGAATTTTCTTTAATTTAAAAAAAATGTTCGGTACAGATTGTGCTACTCTCCTATCCATGGACCTTAGTTCCCATTTTACAATATCAGAATAGTGAACAGAAACAGACCTGTCTTTATTATCTGGCCTTCTTAGACCACAAAATATAGATGGAAAAGATAAGTACTCTGCATCAGGATCATTATAGAGGCTAATTGGTCGTTGACCTTCACCAGGAGCAAAAGTTAAATTTGTATCACATGGTGGATTGTCGTCTGGAATGTGATCTAATAGTGTATCTGTATTACCAACATGTGTTTCATTTTCATCTACTTCACTGAAATGATCAGAGTCATCGTCTAAATCATTTTTATCTTGGATATCCTCTTGTTCTGTAGTTTTTTGTTCATTTTGTGTTTCTTCTTCATTTATTTTTGCTATTTCAGTAATCCAATGCTCATCTATTTCTATTCCAGAAGACTTGTACAAGTCACTTGTTCTCATCAAATAATGCAATGCACAAATGACAGCAAATGGTCTCACATTTTCACTAAAATCACACTTTTTGAATGCCAGTTTTTTTTTCAGTTTAACTGATATTGTACCTGATTTCTCTAATGTATGTGGAAGTGAATTTATTGTAGGTTGAACTTCAACAGGCACATTTACAACATTGCCTTTAACTGATAACTGTCCACCTCTTGGCAACTGTCGAATCTGCATAAAAGGAATCCTTAATGATAACAGTCTTTCTTCTAAAGGATACAAATTTAGTTCTTTAGGTCTTTGAGGAAATCCCATTTTATTGGCTATTGAAAATCGAGGAGTTTTTTGTTTTTTAATTGCATTAAGACAAGTGTGGCATATCCATTCTATGTGTTGTACAGATTCAAAATTGGTAAAACAATGAGACATGTTAGCAGGAGTATTCATTTTAACAGTGTTAGCATTTACTACAGAATCACAGAACCAAGTTTGATGACAAGAAGTACATATATATGTAGGACCTTCATTAATTTTTGTTTTAAAATTTCTTATGCAGGTGTCAAGGGTTGTACCCTGAGTTTTTTTCTTTTTTAAATCTCTTTCATGATCTGTAAAATTAGGGTTTGTTCTTTTACAATTTTTGATTGATTGATTATAACTTCTGTCTTTGTCAATGTTTTTACGTCTAGAACTCTGTTTTGCCAAACGCTCAGTTTCCAAATTTTTGGGTTTGGACCTATAATCTTGTTTCCTTAGCAAATCTCGTTGGAACTCACGTTTTCTATAATCTTCGTCCTGCCTTGCAATTTTTTTCTTTTCTGCTTCATTTGTTTTAAAAATATCTTGTTTTCTAGCCTTTCTTTTAGAAGCAAGTTCTCTTTGTCTCACTTTTTGTCTTAAATAAGAATTTTTATTTCTTTGAGACTTCTTACAGTCTGCTTCAGTTTTTCTAAAATCCTTGTTTTCTCTTGCTTTTCTTTTAATATCAATTTCTCGTTGTCTCTCTTTTTGTCTTAAATCAAAATTCTCTCTTTGACACTTCTTACTTTCTGCTTCAGCTTTTCTAAAATCCTTATTTTCTCTTGCTTTTCTTTTACAATCAATTTCTCGTTGTCTCTCTTTTTGTCTTAAATCAAAATTCTCTCTTTGACACTTCTTACTTTCTGCTTCAGCTTTTCTAAAATCCTTATTTTCTCTTGCTTTTCTTTTAAAATCAATTTCTCGTTGTCTCTCTTTCTGTCTTAAATCAAAATTATCTCTTTGAGACTTCTTATTTTCTGCTTCAGCTTTTCTAAAATCCTTATTCTCTCTTGCTTTTCTTTTAAAATCAATTTCTCGTTGTCTCTCTTTCTGTCTTAAATCAAAATTATCTCTTTGAGACTTCTTATTTTCTGCTTCAGCTTTTCTAAAATCCTTATTCTCTCTTGCTTTTCTTTTAGAATCAATTTCTCTTTGTCTCTCTTTCTGTCTTAAATCAAAATTATCTCTTTGAGCCTTCTTACTTACTGCTTCAGCTTTTCTAAAATCCTTATTCTCTCTTGCTTTTCTTTTAGAATCAATTTCTCGTTGTCTCTCTTTCTGTCTTAAATCAAAATTATCTCTTTGAGCCTTCTTACTTACTGCTTCAGCTTTTCTAAAATCTTTGTCCTTTCTTACAGTTCTTTTATAATTTAACTCCCTTTGTCTTTCTTTTTCCCTAAATGTTTTCTTTTTTCTTTTATTTTGCATGTACTGTTTCATATACACAAATTTGGGTACCTTTGTAGTAACTTTACTCTTGGACAGAACTGCTTGATCATCATTGTCAGTGCTAACAGAATTTTCCTGGTCACAAGAATTTAAATACTGGTAACCAATTTTTTTTTGTTTTGTGTTTCTTAGTTTCTGATCTTCAAAATAGTTCTGCATCTGCTTGTTTATATCTGTGCCTGTATCTTCACAACTGATGCATACAGGGAGAATTTCATATTGTGAGTCTAAATCAATTTTTAAACTTGTGTAAAAAGCATACAAGTAACTGACAAGGTCATGTAAATCAGCAAATCCAATCAAGATACTTTTGCCTGAGGAATCTAATGGATTATTCAGTGTACATTCTGAATGAGAATGAGTGTCAAAAAAGTAGTATATTTGATTATGATAATAAACTGCAGAACATATGGCTCCAATCATTATAAGAAATTTGTTTGACTGCTTAATACAATTTTGAATTGCTTCTTGTAATGTGAGATATCCAGTCAACTCTTTGTACTGTAAAGCTATACCGAACAGTATTTGTTGTTTCTTAAATGTAAAAATCCCTTGTGGAATTTCTATCTTAACAGGAATTTCATCAAAATTTAAAAGCATACATTGAAACAATCCCTGTAAAGTTAGTTTTTGAACATGCTTCCTATAAATTCCATCTCCTAAATTTAAAATGTAATCAAGGTCCACAGTGTTTTGGTCAAAATTTAAAGTTGCCAGTGATAAGAAAACTAAGCAATTACAAGTACATTGGTTGCCCCTGCTTTGGTCATCAAATTTTTTGGCATACTGGTCAAATGTTCCAAATTTAAGAAAGTGGTTATTAAAAAAATTAACACTTTTAAATACTTCTTTTTCTTTATAATCATGATAATTCTGTTCTGGCATCATACTAGGAGAATCTTTCTTTGCATAACTGTTTTTCGATTGATTTGACAGAATATTTGTTTGTTTATAAGAGCTATGAGCAGTTTCATTTGCATAAGTATTGTAACTGATTTCATTTAATTCAGATAGTACAATTTGGTTCAATACAGGTAGTTCAAGTTGGTTCAATACAGGTAGTTCAAGTTGGTTCAATACAGGTAGTTCAAGTTGGTTCAATACAGGTAGTTCAAGTTGGTTCAATTCTGTTAGTTCAAGTTGGTTCAATTCTGATAGTTCAAGGTGGTTCAATTCTGTTAGTTCAAGTTGGTTCAATTCAGAAAGTTCTTTTAGATTCAATTTCGGTAATTCAAGTTGGTTTAATTCTGATTGTTCAAGCTGATTAAATTCAGATAACTCATTTTGATTCAATTCAGATTGTTCAATTTGATTTTTAAGTGACAGATTAACTGTTTCAGTATAATTTTGAGAATTTTTTTTCACATTTCTATTAATACTGTTATTTGAATTTGAGTGAAGGTCAGTAACCCCCAAGTTATTTGAGTTACTGTTGACGAGGGTGTCAGTATCACCCACGTCAAGGTCAAATTCTGTACTGTTAATGGGGCCAGTATCCCCAGTCAAGTTCGTCAGTTTCTGTTTCTTTGGGTTCTTCACACCAAGTTTAGCCTCTGCTGCTCTCCAATTTTTTCTTCTTGGCATCTTCAATATTCTATAATTATATAGATGTAAATGATGTTTTTTTTTATAATTTTGGGGGGGACCATTTAATTTAAGGATCCTTGTTCAGTTTTCTATAACGATATAGGATTAACACCTTTTTAAAGGAATTCATTGGTGTATAAACTTGATCAATTCACTAACAAACAGATAAAAGATATGTTTGTAACCAACTTGGTCCAGTTTATATACCAATAAATTCCTTTAGAAAAAGTTCAATTCTTCTAACTCTTTTCAATTGGAATTAACGAATATATTTTCCCACACTAATTACTTTTATCACACGTTTATAATTTTTTTTACACTTATAACTTCTATCACACGTTAATGAAAACTTGTGTCATTGAAAAGGCATGGCGCATTAATATACATTTGTTGGTTAATGCAAAAATTGGTACTCATTGGTACTCAGTGAAAACTGAAATTTGCTATCTGATAAAAAGGAAACTACAACTAGATGTGTTGTAACGACATGAATGGCCCCGTCTCAAAAAGTTGCATCAATCTGAAATTTCAACAACACATGTACACACAAACATGATGGTAGTATCACACAGTCTTCACGATAAACTTTTGAAGCCACAAGCCCGAAGCTCAATTTTACGAAAATTTTAGTTGGATTCTGTTGGCTTGTAGAGAAGATTTTTACAAGCCCGAAAGCAATTTTACAAGCCAACACTTGTGGACTTGTGGTTAAGCGTGAAGACTGATCACATATCAAAATTCAGCTCAAAATCTCAAGGCATATAGAAAAAAGTCAGTATAACTGCAATTTTTGACAATTTTCAAAGTCTTAAACTCTTAATTTCTGCAAAAATCAGTGGAGCAGAACAAAACTTATACTTGATCTGTAATTCATCTTGGTTAACACACAAATCAAAAATCAGCCTAATTTCAAAAGGCGTTTAAAAAAAATATGTATAACTGTGATTTTCAACGATATGAAAAGTCCAAAGCTAGTAATTTTTGCAAAAATTACCAGAGCAGAATGAAACTTATATTTTATCTGTAACTCATCATGGTGAACGCACATACCAAAAATTAGACCAATATCTCAAGGAGTTTAGAATTTTTTTTGTATAATTGTGATTTTCAACAATTTATCAAAGTTCAAAGCCCTTAATTTCGCCAAAAATTAGCAGAGTTGAATGAAACTAAAACTTGATCTGTAACTCATCATGGCTGACTCTCATACCGAATATTAGTCAAATCTCAAAGTGTTGAGAAAAAAAAACGTATAATTATAAATTAGTATACAAAGTCCAAAGCCCTGTAATTTCAGCAAAAATTAGCACAGTGGAATGAAACTTAAGCTTGATCTATAAATACCAAAAATGAACCCAATATTTGAATTCGTTTAGAAAAAAAAATGTATAATGGTGTGTTGCTGAATGACAGAATGACACAATGATCAAATGACGGACCAAATCCCATAATTTCGGCAAAAATTAGCAGAATGGAATGAAACTTGAGCTTGATCTGTAACTCATCATGGTTAACTCACATACCAAATATGAGCCAGTATATATCTGAAGGTGTTTAGAAAAAAATCCGTATATTAGCATGAATACTATGTTGCGGAATGATCAAATGACAGACAAGGGTAAAACTATATGGCCCTGACAACTTTGTTGCGGGGCCATAAAAGCCCAATATTTGAAGGTGTTTAGAAAAAAAATCTGTATAATAGCATAAATACTTTGTACAGGAATGACAGAATGACACAATGAAAGACAAGGGTAAAACTATATGGCCCCGATAACTTTGTTGCAAAGCCATAAAAATTCTTATCATTTAAATGAATGTTTTTGTGTTTTATTGTTTAACAATTACAAGAAGTTCACTCAACATGCTCAATATCTTTTCCTGAAATTCGAAATAAAGAATCCCCGGATCCCTAAAGGGTCAATCCCGAAACCTTAAAAACACCTGATCCCGGAGTCCCGATAAAGGTCCTATACCCCATGATGGCCTCAGTAATGTTGAAGTTGTGGAAATTGAACAAAAATCAACCAAACAACGGAAAAGACACGTAAGTGAAGACAAAAATGAGCAAGACTTCAAATGGCTTATAGTCACAGAGAAGGATACTACTGTTCTGTGTGCCAAAAATACAGCACAACAGCAAGAAACAGGACAGAAACCTGGATCGATAGGCCTTGCATTCACAGGAGGAGGGAGTCCTGCAAATTGTTGAAAAAAATCAAATCAAAGAATATTTGACAATTAATATGACTACTTCTATTTATGTTTGTTCAACTGCATTAAATGTGAATATTATACTAATCTTTATTTTTGTGACCCCCACAGTAAATAAAAAAAAATAAACGGTAGGACATTAAAAAAAAAACCACCCGGTTGCAGGTGATTTTTTTAAAACACCCACCTTACCTTAGTGAAAAAAGGAAAACACTGATAGTAATCATCAGATTTGGAATTTCACAGACACATTGCACTGTTCCCAGATTTAAATTGGTCTATATTTTTTAACAGAATATTTCTTGGTCATGTTGGTGATGGATAATCAGCATCATTTGTGTTGAAAACACCAAAAACATTGAGAGATAAATGACTTAGTGTTTGCAAAAAAGGTTTGAGCTGGGACTATTATCTAATGTACATGACAATTTTACTACACTGCCACTTGTAAAAATTATCGTCAATCGAGGAACTACTTTCCTGAGTAAATTTTACTTGCTGGCTTTATAATAATATTCTTTACAATATAATTCATCATCATTTCATGTTCTAAATGTGTTAATTTCTATGTCTTTGCTTTTGTTTTAAACTTTAACAACAAATTCAAACCTGCTACACATGTGTTACTTACATTTTGAAATTTCCAAGGGCAGTTATGCAAACTGTACTTTTTATTAGAGAGTTTCTGTTTGCTGTACCTTAATACCACAAAGAACCATATCACAACAAAGTTCAATAAATATATCTGAAATATTTATGAGACTGAAAATAGTGCCTTTGTTCATGTAAAGTTCTCTACATGGTTTGTTTTAATATTTCATTAATATATTTATATACCAAAATATATATAAGTCTATCCCAAAATATCATAAAAAGGGACACAATTCAATAAATACCAAAAACTGCAAAATTTTCTTAAAATCACCAATTCAGGGGCAACAACCCAACAACAGATTTCCTGATTTGTCTAAAAAGTTCAGGGCATTTAGATGTTGACTAAAATGAAAAAAATTTCTACATCAGATTTGCTCTAAATGCTTTGGTTTCAGAAATCTTCCCTGAAAACTGCATTTTACCCCTATATACTATTTTAACTCATGTCAGCCATCTTTGTTGAAAGGCGGGGTCATTCGACACATTATTTAAACTAGATACCCTTATGATGATGGTGGCCTAGTTTGGTTAATATTGTCTAAGTATTTTCAGAGGAGAAGAATTTTTTAAAAAGATAATTAAAATTTCAGGTAAATGGTTAAAAATTGATTATAATAAGCAATAACTCCTTAAGGGGTCAACTGACAATTTTGGTCATGTTGACTTATTTGTAGATCTTACTTTGCTGAACATTATATCTGTTTACAGTTTATCTCTATCTACAATTGTATTCAAGATAATAACAAAAAACAGCAAAATTTCAAAAAAAAAATACTAATTCTGGGGCAGCAATCCAACAACGGATTGTCCGATTAGTCTGAAACTTTCACAGCAGATAGATCTTGACCTGATGAACAATTTTACGCTTGTCAGTTTTGCTCTAAATACTTTGGTTTCAAAGATATAGGCCAAAATCTACATTTTACCCCTATGTTCTATTTTTAGCAATGGCGACCATCTTGGTAGGTTGGCGGGGTCATCGGACACATTTTTTAAACTAGATACTTGAATGATGATTGTGTTTAAGTTTGGGTGCATTTGGCCCAGTAGTTTCAGAGGAGAAGATTTTTGTAAAAGTTTACGGACGCCGGACGCCGGACGCAGGACGACGGACGCAAAGTGATGAGAAAAGCTCACTTGACCTTTCAGGTCAGGTGAGCTAAAAACGGCAAAATTTCCTAAAAATTACCAAGTCAGAGGCAGCAACCCAACAAAGGGTTGTCCGATTCATCTGAAAATTTCAGGGCATATAGATCTTGACCTGATAAACAATTTTACCCCATGTCAGATTTGCTCTAAATGCTTTGGTTTCAGAGATATAAGCCAAAATCTACATTTTACCCCTTAGTTCTATTTTTAGCCATGGTGGCCATCTTGGTTGGTTGGCCGGGTCACTGGACACATTTTTTAAACTAGATACCCCAATGATGATTGTGGCCAAGTTTGGTTAAATTTGGCCAAGTAGTTTCAGAGGAGAAGATTTTTTTTAAAAGATTACAAAAATTTACGAAAAATGGTTAAAAATTGACTATAAAGGGCAATAACTCCTTAAGGGATCAACTGACCATTTTGGTCAAGTTGACTTATTTGTAGATCTTACTTTGCTGAACATTATTGCTGTTTACAGTTTATCTCTATCTATAATAATATTCAAGGTAATAACCAAAAACGGCAAAATTTCCTTAAAATTACCAATTCAGAGGCAGCAACCCAACAAAGGGTTGTCCGATTCATCTGAAAATTTCAGGGCAGATAGATCTTGACCTGATAAACAATTTTACCCCATGTCAGATTTGCTCTAAATGCTTTGGTTTCAGAGATATAAGCCAAAATCTACATTTTACCCCTATGTTCTATTTTTAGCCATGGCGGCCATCTTGGTTGGTTGGCCGGGTCACCGGACACATTTTTTAAACTAGATACCCCAATGATAATTGTGGCCAAGTTTGGTTAAATTTGGCCAAGTAGTTTCAGAGGAGAAGATTTTTTTAAAAGATTACAAAAATTTACGAAAAATGGTTAAAAATTGACTATAAAGGGCAATAACTCCTTAAGGGATCAACTGACCATTTTGGTCAAGTTGACTTATATTTGTAGATCTTACTTTGCTGAACATTATTGCTGTTTACAGTTTATCTCTATCTATAATAATATTCAAGATAATAACCAAAAACGGCAAAATTTCCTTAAAATTACCAATTCAGAGGCAGCAACCCAACAACGGGTTGTCCGATTCATCTGAAAATTTCAGGGCAGATAGATCTTGACCTGATAAACAATTTTACCCTATGTCAGATTTGCTCTAAATGCTTTGGTTTCAGAGATATAAGCCAAAATCTACATTTTACCCCTATGTTCTATTTTTAGCCATGGCGGCCATCTTGTTTGGTTGGCCGGGTCACCGGACACATTTTTTAAACTAGATACCCCAATGATGATTGTGGCCAAGTTTGGACAAATTTGGCCAAGTAGTTTCAGAGGAGAAGATTTTTGTAAAAGTTTACGGACGACGGACGACGGACGACGGACGACGGACGCCGGACGCAAAGTGATGAGAAAAGCTCACTTGACCTTTCAGGTCAGGTGAGCTAAAAACGTAATTAATATTTTACAATAATCATAACAAAATTTAATTACTATCATAATTTTAATTATTTTATACTGTTTTAGTATGGATGTATAAGTCTCTGCTTATATTTTGTATAGCAATATATATATTCATATAGTGGAATGTTAGACTTTAAAAAGAGATTGATTTGATAAATAAAATGTCCATCCTTAAATATTTATTGGTATTATATTCTAAATTTTCGGAAAAAATCACTAACAGGAATGTATGTTAATTATAAAATTTCAATTCTTTTTTTGTTCGTTTGTTTTAATAGTTCAACCTTATAGCATCTAAATAATTGTACTATGGCACGATTTTGAAAATTGTATTCATTGTGTTGACCAGCTATCATTCACATTATATATCACCCTGTTCATACGCACACTATCGGTTTGCGTTCACAAAACACTTGAGGTAGGTAGTTTGACATCCGAATTCAGCTATTAGATTAATATATGTGATGACGCAAATGCGTATTCTTATCCAGAGTATCAGTGCGTATGCTTTCTGATTACTATTTATTGCGCAAAAATACCACGTGCATGCATAAATATTAATTTCACTCGTGAATGCGAATTTTCGCTTTTCTTATCTAAATTCAGGACACGGCAGTAAGAGCTTGACATGTGACTTTCAAACACGGTCATCATTACTTACGGTATTCTGACCTCTAGCTGTTTCTCTTTTATTTTCTTTTTTAAGTCACTGTCCTATTATAAACTTTGACATTTTCGAAATGCTAGGGATTTTGTACCCAAGGAATAGATTACTTAACTTCGTACTTTATTTGGCCTTTTTAACTTTTTTTATTCGAGCGTCACTGATGATTCTTTGTAGACTGAACTCGCGTCTGGCGTACAACATTTTAATCCTGTATCTTTTTATATCTGCATATCTTTTTGCATAAATTGGTTCTTTTGAGAGTATGTTCAGGTATTCATAAAACTTCTGAAAATAAGATATTCTTCAAAACCAAGTTTTCCTGTAAAATATTTGGATTGATTCAAGTAAAATCAGGAAATCCTTAAAATTTGAGATGTTTTATGAGATCAAAATAAGTCTCTATATAAGGAGTCCCAATGAAACTGATGTGTTACTCTCAGGTAAAATATACGAAACCTTCTTATAAATTGCATGCCACAGGGTTTCACATGACATGGAAATTGGACTCTAAATTTATCTATACAACATATACCATGAGTACAGACAGCTTCAATAACGAGTTGAGAATAATTGAAGGCATTCAGGAAACAAAATATGAAGATATGATAGATAAAATAAATGCATCCAGATTATAAAGCAAACTGAGTGCTTAAATTTATATTGCGATTGGTTTGTGCAATTTGCATTAGACATCCGGTTTGTAGAAACTGGGATTTGCAAAAGGGTTATGAAAAAATAATATACACTCCCAAGTAATAAATAAAATAGTCGAGCCTTAAAATTTATATTCAAATAAAATCTGTATATATACACTTTTCTATTTACAACTACCCAACATTGCTTTCAACTGACTTGTGCAAGAATCTACACACAATTACATATTTTTAATAAAGATGTTTTAACATCATCATTATCTTATTCTATTCACAGTCAATTATTTCAATTCAAAAGCATACAGAAATTCAGCAACAATTTTTTTTGGTGACAAGTCAGAGGTCTTGGGTTCACGTATTGCTTTTCTTTTTGCAAAGAAAACAACTTGTTTACTTAATATTCAGTATATATTTTAGAAACTGTTCTTAACCTTGAATTACATTTGAAAAATTTTCCGGTTTCCGGTTTTTGAAGAGTTCATGATGAAATCTTACTTTTGCATAAAATTACTAATTTCCGTTCAAGAAATTTGTCAGTTTCCTTATACAATCAAGATATTTATGTTTAAAATTTAGTTACATTTGACAATTTTTCTGCTTTCCTATTTTCGAAGATTTAATGATAAAACCTTTCTTTTGGCCTCAAAGTACTAATTTCCTGACAAGAAATGTTGTCAGTTTTCTTATACAATCAAGTTTGTGATGTTACTGATACAGTTATATTGTTATAGAAGATGTTGCTCAATCAATAATATCAATATTAAAATTTACCAGTTTTTATTTAAAAAAAAAAAAAACAAAAAAAAAACTGATTTAAAACCAAACTCATCTATTTCCATCACTTTTAACTTGCATTGGTAGACGTTTAGTTTTTAAAATATGATGAAATTCTGAACACAATTACATTACGTACATTGTATATATACACAGAAACGACGTGTTTTATTTTTTCTCTCGGTTGAAGCTCATTATTCACCGTGCTTCGTGCAACTTGATAAACAAACTAGATGCTCTAAAGAGCCTGAGTGGCTCACCTTGATCTATGTGCATATTCAACAAAGGACACTATACAACATTGTAGACGAGAATAGAACTCATGATAAAAATCTCTGTTTTGTTGATCTTGTATTGCTGATCGTTGAGTCCGTTTAGTTTCTCTCTATATTCTTTAGTTTTTGCTCAAAACGCAAAAGAGGGTACTAAAACAAATCCTCATTTAGGGGCAATCACTCCTATAAAGAGTGACACACTGTAAAAATTGTGCTTAGAATTTAAACGTGTTGCAAGACTTATGTGCTTAGGAAAGTGTTTAATTTCTAAACATAAAAAAATAAACATGTTTTGGCTCTCAGCACTTCGCAATAAACATGTTTTGGCTCTCAGCACTTTTCAATAAACATGTTGCTATGCTAAACATGTTTAGCTACTTTGTCAAGTATATAAAGCTAAACGTGTTTAAATTCTAAGCACTTTCAATATTTAGACACTTTCCTAAACACGTTTAGAATTACAACACATTTAGGCCGAATACGGCATTCATATCACGTGCTAATTTTTGAGCGGGAAGAAGAAACAAAGAACCCGAAGTCAAAGGCCACGCTGTTTACTTCTGACCATAACTGACCGTAACTTGACTGTTTCAGAAAGGTAAGGAGTTATGATTATACTGTCTTTTATTTTGTACTGCCAATTTTAAATGGTTATTGACAGTTCTAAGCATTATTTACAAGTACTCTACCGTATAGTCAATGCAGGAGAGTAAAGGTGTTACCATCCCACGAAACAAGTGCTTGTAAGAGCTTTAAGTGTTCAAACTATCTTGTGTATAGATGATAACAGTTGTTTAATGTTCTATCATGCAAGTTTGCATTTATTTTTTTATTTATATATGTTCTTGGAAAGGAGTTTGTGAGGATAATTTTCGTTCGGTACTCCTCGTCAGATTATAATGGAACATGAAGGGTAGCGGAATCTGCCGAGTCTTATCAGGATGAGGTGCATCATTCGCAAATCCAGTGTCATATCGAGTTCATTGTTTTCGTAAGCACTTCCGATATGCACAATCAACATTTCCTCAAAAATAAATAGAAAGATGCTTGTTTATTTCAATAGTTATAAGCGGTTGTGATTTTTTTTATAATTTTATTGGTATGTATTGTTTTATTCTAGATGAGAGAAGTGCAGAAGAAATCATCATCCGTCTTGGCATGCTAAAAGAGGAGACAAAGAACAGTAGCAAATATGCTGCTAGGTAAGAATCAAAAATGTATTTGATTTTAAAAATGCCAATATATATTTGATCAAATGAATAATATTAAGCATGAGAAGAAGTTTTATATTAAAAAATATCAATTGATTCATCAGTAAATTTATGTTTTTATACCACGGTCCTAATGTTGTTATTTGGATCTTAAATCATGCTTTTACTTTTTGGTGTTGTAGTTCGTATTCTTATATTTTTAGATTAATTCTACTTAGTTGCTTATCAATATTTTTCTATATTTCAGGCCATTGACCAGCAGTTGGGTACTAAGAAAGGAGAAGCTCTTATTGACCTGTAAAATGAAAACAGGACATTTTCAAATTGTTTTGTTGTAGGGATGGGGTACAAGTAGAAGATTGGTCAATATTATGTACATGTACCTTGATATGAATTTATTTTTGATTGTGTTCAATGATAAACTGGAAATAAATGATAACATAAATTCCTTTGTTTTATATGTTGTAATTTTGTTTTTAAAGCTAGAATTAGTATAATGATAATTTCATTTCAAAAGTTCTAGACTGTTTTACGAATATTTGAAATGAAGAAAAAATGCAATAGTCGAATGACGTGAATTGAATTAAAGAAAAAACTCTTTGAGATTGAAAAGGTATTGGTCACATTCAATTTGATATGGAAATTCCAGTTTCTTATTTTGATGCATTGGCTCCTTTTTGTGATGGTATGAAAACCTGTTTTATTGAGAGCTATCATACGTTTTACAGTCAAGCCTTCCGGAATATTAGTTTAATTGGGGCCTAATGAAGTAACGGCTTCTCACAATAAAATGATAAACATGTTTCTTCACGACCCTTTATGGTCTAAACATGTTTACATTCAAAACACTTCACAGCTAAACGTGTTTCCAGACAAAACACTTCTCAGCTAAACATGTTTCCAGATACAACAATTCACAGCTAAACATGTTTACAGTCTAAGCACTTTTTAGCTAAACGTGTTTCTAGTCTAAACGCTTTACAGCTAAACATGTTTACAGTCTAAGCACTTTATAGCTTGACACGTTTAGGCTGTTAGCACATTAAATATTAAACATGTTTAGATTTAAAACATGTCAAAAATCGGTTTCATAAATGTGTTTAGGAAAGTGTTTAGGCTCTAAACACATTTTTTAGAGTGCAGTCTACTAACTATTTCTGCAAAATTTGACTTAGTAGATCTTGCCTTGTTGATCATTTTCGTGATTTATAGTGTTTATTTATCTATTATAATTTTTATCATATAAGGCAAAACGCACAAAAAAATGGTAAAAATCGTCATTAAAGGGCAATAACTACAATAAGGAAGATTTTCTCCATATTGCCTTAGTTATAGATCTTGTCTTTCTGATCATTTTTGCTTATTAAAGTTTCTATTTATCTATTATAAATTTCAAGATATAAGGCACAAATTCAAACAAATTGGTAAAAATCGTCATCAAAGGGCAATAACTCTTACTAATAAGGAGTCGACTGACGATTTCGACCATGCAGAATTATTTGTGAAACTTGTCTTGCTAATAATTTTGGCACTTTTAAGTTTCTCTCTATCTATTATAGTTTTCAAGATAATCAGATAACCATTATTAGGTTGCTGCCACTAATTTGGCAATTTGGTAATTTTTCAGTTTTTGGTTATTATCTTGAATATTATTATAGATAGAGATAAACTGTTAGGGCAAAAATGTTAAGCAAAGTAAGATCTACAAATAACGTAAATGACCAAAATTGTCAATAGACCCCTTAAAGAGTTATTGCCCTTTAAAGACAATTTTCAAAATTTTATCCTCATGTTTGCTGCCCACTTAAAAAAAAATCTTCTGAAACTACCAAACCAAAATCAATCAAACTTAAGCTGAATAATTCTAAAGGGTAACTAGTATAACGTTTGTGTTTTATTTTCTGTTTCCTCAGGAAACATGGCCCCCATGGCAAAGAATAGAACATAGCATTTCATTATTGATGAAAGATTTAAGCAAAAAATTACAGGTGAGCGATTCAGGCTCTTGAGAGCCTCTTGTTCTTTTATAGAAATCATGAAGGAATTAATTATTTAAAAAATAACTGAAATAAGTTATATTTTTGTATTTTTTTTAAATTAATGTTATACATCTGTATACTTCTCTTAATTTTATTATAGATAGAGATAAACTGTTAGGGCAAAAATGTTAAGCAAAGTAAGGTCTACTTTTTTTTTGTATAAAATAATGAAAACGCTCATTTCAACCTCAACAATGTTCATGTAGCCCATGTTTTTATTGAAATTTTAAATAACTCCTTTGAGTAATTTTCCCCCCAAAAAAATGTTTTGGTAATTAAAAAAACCTCTTTAAGGTAACTATTTTTTTAAATATCTTGATAACGTTATTTAGATATATTATAGTTTTTGATCATTACTGTTTATACAAATAGTAAATGTGTAATCTTTGTTTTGTTGTTTTTAAACCTTAGATTTAAAAAAAATCATAATACTCTTTATGCTTATTTTTGGGATGATGTACCTTTGTTTACAATGTATAAAGAAATGGAAGTTCGTCATATTTTAATTTTTAAAGCAGTGGGAATTTTTTATTGGTTGACAATGTATTTCAGATCCCCAAAATTTACATGTTTGAAATAAGTATTTTAACAAAATAATGAAGCATCAACATTTCTTTCATTTATGTACATTACAAAGACTTATTAGATAGTTTGGATGTTCAATTCAGAAGAACCTTAGTTGTGATCACATGCATGTTAATCCATTATTTTTGTATTAAATTGTCTTATAAGATAATAAAAGGTTCTCTGATCAAAAATAAAATAATAAATCTATCAGAAATAAAGCATGACATAAAAAAGTATATGTATAAACCACAATCAATGCCACATACTTCAGATTTGTGTAATGAAAGGTAAAGACGTTCACATTTTTTTTTATGTATAATCATAATAAATGCTACCTTGTTTCATTCAATCACAATTAAAATTAAAAGAATTTATTGTGTTTGTTTTATATTTCCAAACATTTATGAGTTTGAATGTTCCTTTGGTATATTTCACCTCTCTTATTTGAATATACAACTGTATAAGATGAATATACAGAGTCATAGACAACAAAAATCAAAATATTTGAAAAAAAGGGAAATAATCCAAGTTATTCACATTACCAAAAGCTCACACATATTTGTTTATTTCAGCTGAAAAAGATAACTTGTTTCAATTATTTTATTTACAAAATAATGACTTAAACAGGTAATTTTTATCCAAAAGGGAGATAACTCTAGTTTAAAAAAAAATTACTTAAATAAGTAATTTTTTAAAACCAGTAAATAAAGAGGGATAACTCCAGCAGATTCAAATTATTACTTGATTGAGTTATAAAAATTGTTACTTGTTTAAGTAATGCCCCTGACTGATAATAGGCAAAATTTAAAAAAAAGGTAATTTTTTTCATTTAAGGGAAATAACTCTTATTAGAAGTCGTCTGACAATTTTGACGTATATGGACAATCGGTTTGAGCTCATCATTCTGAACATTTCTGCTCGATTCAGATTTTCTCTATTTATAACAGTTTCAAAATAATAGAGAAAACTTGCATTTTACTCCTATGTTATATTTTTAGCCATGTTGGCCATCTTAGTTGGCAGGCGAGGTCATCGGACTTTTTTTTTAAAACTAGATACCCCAATGATGATTATGGCCAAGTTTAGTTAAATTTGGCCCAGTAGTTTCAGAGGAGAAGATTTTTGTAAAAGTTAACGACGATGACGGATGACGACGACGGATGACGACGACGGATGACGGACGCCAAGTGATGAGAAAAGCTCACTTGGCCTTTTAGGCCAGATGAGTTAAAAAAGGGCGATTATTTTCAAGATATAGCAATTGTCATTTTATTTCCCGTTCGTTCGTGTACAGACCCCTCTTAGCGACCCTACTGTATATACATTTTGACCAAATACAGAAAATAAGTTGCAGAAAACTGAACCTGTTAATGTAAAGAAAGGGGGCTCGAAATGTACTAATCAAGCAGACAAAAAGAATAATAAACGACGCCTGGTGACAACGAGCTAGCTAACGTACTTAAAGAAAGATATGTTTGTCATGCCGGGCCATTTACAGCTGACTGTGCTGTATCGATTTTACTCACGATTGAACGCCTTACGTATTAGCTAACATCTTTGTCAATTTGGCTTTGGTGGAAATGATAATCATACCACATATCTAATATATTAGTATCTATAACAATGCAGATACCTAAAACCTTGATAGGGATAATTGTGTAGAGATTTTTTAAGAGAAATAACGCTCTAATCTACTTTATGATACCCATCTTCTAGATAAAATTGAATTCTAGCAGAACATCAAAAACTAACAAGGCTAATGCATTACAATATTAGAAACAAAAGAAGATGTGAGGTAAACGTGAATAAGACAACAACCCAACATTAACAGAAACCCAGGAGACATCTAGATGGATGACATCTTCTACAATAGACCGGTGTCTAAACAATACGCCAATTCAAGCTTTAAATCATCCCGAAGCAAACAAAATTGCGAATAAGTTAAAACAAATACAATCAGGATCCACCCCTTATCATCAAAACCATAATACATGTAACATTAAGGTGGTACATAACACTACATGGAGATAACTCAGTAAAAATCAGCTGAACGTTTTAATCACATTCTATTGTAAAGGAAATATTAAGTTTCTCAATGATCAGAGTTAGTGTTTGTCAAAGTGCTATATATCTAATGAAATTTTTCCGATAAAGTATGTGGTTCAAGTTTTTTTTAAATTTTTATATTTTTATCAAAGGGTTAAAGTCAATATTTTGTCAAAATTTTATGAAAATTTAACGAGCCAAATTGATTTTGATGAACATATGTCGTGCCCTTTTTAGATTTCAATCTGCTTTTTAACAACTGTCATGTTCTTAATAGTTTTAGAACTTTTTTAAATCGTTGTATTCCTTCATGCACAGAGGGTGACAGACAACATTAGTTTGTCATTGTATTTTGCAAGAAACAAGAACAGAAGTATATGGACATATTTTATCATGTTAGCAAATTGTAACGTTAAAATCTCAATTTAGCAATTATAGTATAAATATCATAAGATCAAAATGTTCTTTACCTGATATTTGCAAAGTTACAGAAAATAAATCCAGTAGTAAAATATAAACGATGACTTTCGACATTGTATCCACGTTTCTTCAACATAAAAATAAAACGAGAAAGGTTAATGTATACTGAAGTGCGAAACAAGTACTTCAATTAAATTTATTTCCGTGTGACAATCAGAGCAACGCACAATAATCTGATAAATTTATTTATTTATCAAATAGGCAATTTTGTACTTTTAAAAGCTATCCTGAAGATTCATTCATTACTTGATTTTAATCTTTTTTGTTAATTTCTTATCAGACATCTATGAAACGTACATATATGATATTCATGTAC